GAGGAATAGGCAGGATGCCTTGTCCTGCCTGGGAGAGGAGGGCAAAGACCCGAAGGACTGAAAACACAACGAGCAACCTGGGGTGCTGCTGGGGGAGAGGGTTAGAGACCCGGGGGCTGTGGGAGGCCCTGCAGCCACACCAGGAGGACAGGATTTTCAGAGGAATGGGGAGATATGGGGCTCCTCTCTGAAAAGAGGGAGGGTTTGTGCCATGAGTGCAGTTCATCAAGAGTCTCAAAGAGGCACTGAACCATGATCTTCTTCCTCACATGGATTCCACAAATGCTGTTTTCCTTGTGAATTTGATGGTGTCCAAGAAAGTTCACAGGGAAGCTAGAAACTGTGCACCCCAGAACGGAGGGCTCAGACCAGCAGCATCAGTTCACATCTGAGCAATGGAAGGGGTTGGAAACAATGCTCAGCCTCAGCCCAAGTGGCCTCTTATGGGAATTGCTTATTTGAACTGTTTCTGAAAACATGGATTTCCAGTCAAAGCCTCTGTGCTGGCTCTATGCTGACCTCCATCTTTTCCCGCTGTTCATGCTCAGGCACAGCCTCCAGGACCCAGGTTCCTCCTCCCTGCAGAGGGAACCGCTCCACAGCCCCCAGTCACTCACCTGCTGCCCCCCCTTCCTCGGGGCGGGGGGTTCGGAGGCTTCCCCGGCACAAGGAGGCCCCTCGAATGGAGCTGCGGTAGCGATCCTCTGCTTCTGGCTCAGCTGCAGCAGAAAACACCCTTTGTAAGGCATGGCCGGTGCGTGCCGGACCCCGTTCCAGCTCCCCCATTCCTCCTCGCCGTGACACGGGGCTCCCCCAGGCCTGTGGGACTCGCAGCCGCCCTCTGAGCCCCGCACTCGACCATGACCCCAAGCACAGCCCTGCTGGCACTGCAGCTGCCTGTCCCCAGGCAGCCGCTCACCCCGTCCTCACGCTGGCCCCGGGGAGCGGAGCGGGTTACAAACGCTCCTGCCAGCACAGCGCAGGGGGGTGGGTGTCCAAAGGTGGGACACGCCATTGCTTTTTCCAGCAAGATTGGCATCCACCAGCTTATGGTGCACATGAAACTCCAGCCTTGAGCTAGGCTGCTCCAGAGGGACCCGGCTAATTCCTTCCTGCCCTCAAGGGACAAGATGGGAGTGGGGGCCAGCACCGAAATGCCGCCTGGAAGAACCACGTTGTCTAATGGATTGGTCCATGTGCAGTTCAGAGTGACAGCTCAGAGAGGCTCAGACTTGCAGCAGGATGAAGACACTGGAGCATCAGTCTCCGTGGTACCCGACAGCCCAATGCTCAGACAGCCCAATACACCCAAACATCAGAGATCGCCACCGAGTTTGGAAGAAGCCCAGATGAAGGACTAACCCAAATTCAGAGATCTCTGGCCAACGTGCTTCCACGCATGGACAAACACATCATGCACCAGAACCACCAGAACTTCACATGGTCAGAGATTGCCCCTTTCACCTGAGAAGCTGAAAGGAGCCAGGGACCAGCCTGCAAATCGGGGACAACAGTCTGAAACAGCCTGGTCCTGGGAGATTTACTCCCGTGCTTTCCTCCTCTGCCAGTAGCTGGGGATACCTGCTTTGTATTCCTGAAATATAGCTGCAAACTGCAAATATATCGGTTTCCCCTTGACATCTTCTAAAGTTCTTCGGAATACACAATACTTTAGGTAGGTTGGGCCGTGATTCTGCACACACAAAAGCAGTGGTAATTGAAAGTGCAAATTAGATGAGCAAATACCCAAATTAGGTGAGCAAATACCCAACAGTTTTCCATGCGCAGCAGGGAGTATTTGCACCAGGACTTCGAGCTATTTCTCCCTGTGAGGGGAAAGGCTGTGCTAAAATAACCATGTTCCTCCAAAAATCTCTCTTCAAGCAACACCTCTTTTTACCTACGTTGACTCTAAAATGAACACATCAACACAATGTAAATAGCTTAGAATAGAAGAATTTGAAAGCAATTAAGAAGCCCAAATCTGAAGATTAAGACATTTCACTCCAAATTTGCCCTCCTTTTTCTGCTGTCTGACTGCAAAGCCCATAACCCTCAGCAAACCACAGCTGGTTTTTGTGTTGCCACAGCCCCAGGTGATGGCGGGGGGAGAGGGGGACCAGGGAGGAGGACAATCGCCGACTGCCTTCCAGGTCTCTTTGGGAGAGCAGTGCTCCCGGGCAGGCGCGGCACTGCCGGCGGAGCCGCGCTCCCCACCTCCTCTAACCACAGATACCTGCGTACGTCGGACCGCTAGACATCCCGAGGGATGCCGCCGTCATCGCTTATTTTGCCTCTCTGATCAGAACACTGCCCCTAAACCAGCTATTTCCTTTTGGGACTTCCTAACCTCTAACGACCTGAGCAGCTTTCAAAAGCCTGTGCTCCCAGAGACAACATCTCAGGTGCCATCTCTCCTCTCAATGCGGAGTTTCCTTCGAAAACTACACGGCTCCATGGTGCAGAAAAGGTAACCTCCCGCCTGACATCAACCTCATCGGTAACAGGAGCTGGAAGCTCTTCTGCGCTGCTCTACATCCCACGCAGCCGCTGCCTCCGTGCAGGCAGCGTGTGGGCAGGGGCCAGGCCGGGCAGCGCCGCAGCCGCTGCG